TGGCACTAGGTAACACCCGGTAACTATTTAGGCTTATTAAGGATACTGGCAAGAAGACGATGGTTAGTGAGGTCGTAACCAAAAGAGATGGGCCCCTGATAACCGTAAGGTAGGCAGTAGGAACTTTGGGTGAAACACTTTAAATCACAGTTCAACTGGTCTACAGAAACGCTTCAGTTGTTCAACATCTAGTCTGAACCGGAATGGGAAGTAGATGCCCGTCCTCTAACTCTCCTTGAAGTTAAGAAGGGTGTATTGCACCTCAAACGATGCAAAACAGCAGCATTTGACAGTTTGCCACCCAAAGTTTTCAAGGATGGCGGTGAGAAGTTGCTGATTAAAGTGACAGAGGTACTAGGTAGAGTATGGAAACCAGAAGAAGCCTGGTCTACTTTACTGATCATCTCAGTCTACAGGTAGGAACAGAAATCTTGTGACAACCATAGGGGAATCACCCTGATTAACATTGTGTCCAGGATCCTAGGATCCATGAATATACACAGCTAAAGGGAGATCAAGAATAAAAGACACAATAGAACCAGGCACGTTTCATACCTGAACGAGGGTGCATCGAACATATTTTCACCCTTCGACAGGTTCTGGGGCACAGGAATAATTACTTGGGATAAAGATATCTTTTGGTGTGAAGGCGGTATTACACTCAGTCGATCATGAAATGTTGTCGCTGTGTCTGACTGTGAAGGAAGTAGCGAGGAAGTGTATTGTGGTACCCAAGGCTTTCTACTCGGACCAAAACAGCCACGTAAGGGACTTCTGAGTTGTCATCTGAAGCAAAAACAGCCGGTGGTGCCTGCCAGGAATCCGCGCTGTCACTTTTTTCGACTAACTTCGTGTTCATTGATATCTCCGAATTTACAAGCGTCAACTTACTCCCAGGAGGTAACTTGGGTGATCTAGAGTCGTGTAGGTATGCAAATGGTGTCTGGCTGGAGTCTTGAGATAATCGGGATCAGTGGTTGCAGAACCTTGGAGACATGGCTGAAAACCAGTCACTCTTAGACATCGAGTGTTTGAACACTATCATTAAGCTTCATTTTTAATGCTCCTTCCTCATATACACTCTGGTCTACTATAATATCGCTCTTTTCCTAACATTTCGCTTTTTTGGCATACCGATGTGAGGTATGGCAAGTTAAACCAACACAGTTCTGTGTGAGGTTCCGTGGTGAGTTTTTCCGTCCATCTGATGGACAGTTTCGATATAAAACCTACCATTACTGTATAATGATCCAAGTTGCCAAACTTTGCATCAAACGAATGACAAGATATGAAAACCATATGATCAAAAGTCGTAAAAAGCAATAAAATGAAAGGAGTGGTAACAGTAGGTAGTGAAATATGGTGACAAGGAGGCAAGAATACGTGACTGCCACTGACATCGGTTTTCAGCTACATCACCGAATCGGCAAGCACCCTAACCGTGAAGCAGAACGGTGGTATTGAGCTACTGACAAAAGAAACTCATACAATAGCAAAAACAGATAAATTGTACATAGTGAGTGCTAGCAGGCACGAAACCTAGGTCCACAACTTCCTTTTGATTAACTCGTAACATCTAACACCAAGGATTAATCCTGTCCACCATATTTTCAATCAGATCAAATTAGTTCGCAATGACAAAATACTTTTCTTTAATGCGGCCGCTAAAGTGTAATAAAAGTTGAATAAATAACTCATTTCAGGAGCTATTGGTTAGGGTTTGAGTTGCAGTTTAGCAATAGTGCAAGTGCGTTTAGCTGCCTAAGACAAATTGTGATGATCTGTATAGACAGGTCTTGTGCATCACCAACTAGTCTATCAGAAATGATGCAACTTACCAAATAACTGAAGTAGCCAATGTACTCAATAACTCCGCACACTACTCTACATTTAGGAGTTAGTGTCGATTATTTCTGGAGCACAACCTTACAGTGTCTGAAATGCAGTGAAGTACGTAGAAAGTAATATATCTCACCAGCAGATCCACCTGATAGAACTGCTTACTTTGCATATTCCAGAAGAATCAAATGCTTTTCGAGCAGCTAATCAATCCCGGAGAGGTTAGAAGAGGGTACAATCATAATCATCAACAAATTTGTAACAAAATTTGAAAACGATGGTGATAGTGGACATCCCCGGCAGACAATGGTTGTTCCCACTCTGTGACGACTCCCCGAAAGCTCCAACATGGTTACATGAGTTCAAATAGAGAGCCTAGATTGGTATATGTTTATTTGTGACTCCACAGCCAAAAACTTCTACACATCTCTTAATCGATGAGGTGAAGCTCCATTTTAGGCAGTATCGACTACATCCATTTTTCAAAATATAATGAAGGATGAGTACATTATTAGTGGATCCACGTTCAAGCTCGACCACCAACATTTGATGGCTTACCTGAGGCTTCGAGTTACTGGACTGCCCTACTGACGCATTTACTGCCGATAGGTGTAAAGCTAATTTATGAGTACTAGTCAGGAAATCTGTGATGTATGCTTTCCTTTTCAACACGATATTCTCAAAATAAGTAAGCTCTAGAAATAACTTGCCGTATTTTTTCACAACCCTTTAAATCTTTGTATTGAAGTGTTAGATTTGTCATATGTAAAACTCGAATGTAACGGAAAGGCTTGTAATCCGCACCAATAACGACTTTCTATATGTTTAGATACTACTGTAGTAATGCAGTGAAGCAAACATTCCATACTGCTTAAAATCAAATTATAGGCTTCAAATTACAACACGTTAAGAAAATAATTGGGAACAAGTGGACTAATCTAAAGAATCGCTTTATCAATGAGTCATTCCCAAACAGTGCCACATGAACAGCTTTTTTAAGAATGTGCTACCATTTCATTTTCAAGGGTACATTTCTACTTTAAGATGCTTTACATACCATTTTAAAATTCATTGGGAACTAGATTTCTATAACCCCAAATTATATGATATCTCGATGCGTAGGGTTTTCCCGAACCACTTTACAAGCCAAGTGAAGCTGACCTACTTTTCTGGCCCTAAGATTTTGTAAAGACAAATACCTTTGAACTTATTGTGCGTAGAAATTCAAAGCTGGGTACTTCCCACATTTCATAGTTATGTGTTGCATTTAAAACAGCTTCTAAATTATGTGATGAAAAATGCAATCCAACGACAATATAGTTCAAAATAGTCCACCATAGCCCAAATTAATTAGGAAATATCTTGACAAAGTCGGAAATTCAACACCAAAAGGTGCAGCAAACTGGTACAGATGCACTTCATCAGTGATTATCTCATTACTGTATACGTATTTGTTTGCCATTTTTACCCTAATATCTTTCAATGGCGAATATAATAGTTAAGAGGAAAAATAGTATTTGCCGCATCCAAGCTTTGCTGGTGCCGTTTTATAGGGTTGGGGCGCTGACAAAATACAGTTTTATCAACACTTTCAGCGAGTTTTTAGTGTAATTGGGATTTTCCCTACCCGTCAAACGTAAGATGATACTCAAAGACCGTGGTAGAATGCTTTGACTTCACTTAATGAGTTCCTGAAAGAGTTGGTTGCTAAAGAAATGTCAACTTGGATATAAAATAACCGACATTTTCAAACTTACATCATCTCTGACACCAGCAGGATATATGAGTCCCAGTCAGACGATCTGTAATTTAGAATAGCCTGTTTTATTCTATTGGAAAGCAAATGGATGTTAGTTTTTGATCATCCATATTTCTGGGGTATTCCTCGTTTATGATAAGTCTCCAGAGTGAACAATTAAGTGTTCAAAGATTTAAAATGTTTTAGAAAGGTAGAGATAAATGTTAATATAAAGTTTTCGGAATAAAACGTTTGGGATTGGTACTTAACATTAACGCTATGGCTTAGAATGTATATTGATCAGGAAATACGCAATTTGGAAATTACACTCTGTATTACACATGAAGTTTTAGCCTTATGGTTAAAGATGGGGCACATAAAACCCAAATTTCAATAAATGTGGTCATTAAGCGGCTAATTGTAGCACAGCTTTAAGTTGACATGCTTAATTTTCACGTCTTACTTTGATAAAACTTCTAGTCATGATGCTAATACAGGACTTTCGATTTCGATTTTCAAGACGACTTGATTGTCTGTCGTAGGATTACACTCAGGATTGCATCTCACGGCCCTAAGATGAAAATAAAGAGATCTGCCGTCCAAGAGCGACTCTTAAATGACCTCAGGACGACCAATCAGGGGTAGAATGCTCGCTAGTTCTCGACATGTAGGGGTTCTAAACATTTTTGTGGTTTACATTACAAAGAAAACCAACGTGAAATCAGCTCAATCTTCAAGGTTCCATGGACAATAAATGAATTATCCAACTAATTTAACCTACAGCCAAAAGTACTCATTTCGGTTAACATATCGAAGCTCAGTAACTAAAACCAGGTGTAAGGGCCAGGGAGTAATTCCATTATTTACCATTTGAGATAAATGAGCACCAGCACTGAAAAGACGGCCAGACGACTGATTAGCTTATGAGTTAATGGGGAGCGCTACCTTCCTGATATCGAAATGTTGGGATCAATGATTCAGAATTAGGATCAGGATGTGACATTATAGTGCACTCACTACTGTTCAGTCGTAGCCTAGTGTCAGCTGCTTACCCCTGCTTTTTACGACCCCGATGAGGAAAACACTCGAAGAAACATGGAAGGTCGGGAAATATGGTTATATTTCAACATATAATTTTACCCTAGATATTTCCATTCAAACCTTTTGGCTATGAAATATGATTAGTGGTTCAAGGGCACTAAGCGAGTCGTTCACACAAGCCAAAACTATTAAGTCCCACCAGCCTTTAATAAGTCCTCTTTGTTGTTCAGATTCCCTAATATTCTTAGTGGTAGTCCAAAATTTCCAGATTCACGAGACGTCGTCTAAAGTTCCACTGCATTTATTTTCAAAGATTGCTGACGGAAAATGTTGTGCATTTCTACTTTAATAAACCACAAGAACAAGAAAGAATTACACTCACCCGGATATTCCTTGGTCTCCAAATCTAACTTAAGGTCAGTAGGTAAGTAAACAACATGGGTAAAGGAATGGGACTCACTTCCCAACCCATGCAACTTTAATAAATCCATTTCGCCACAATATACAATAAATGCACACAAAAGGACGAGAAAGTCAAACAAGGCTTGAGGTTCCCCAACCATAAGCTCCTCTGGAAGGATGTGATCAAGATCTTCTCCTATCTCATGGGATAATTTTGACACAACAGCCTCAAAGTTTTCAACACAATCTGCATCTACAGAGTCGGGACATGGTACTGAAGAACATTAAAATAATATATCCACAACTTACAAACATCGCTGCCGAACAAAACAACTGAGAGATCAAGAACAAATGTAGGAGTAATATCGTGGATACTCCGTATATAGGGGTCCACATTTATTACTGAAAGAGCATTATTTGCAACCCCAACCAATTCGTTCGCTTAATATTATTAAATTGTTTGCACAGATAATACACATACCAGACAAATTAGCAGGATCACAAAACCTCCCGAACGCCATCAAGGTTCAAAACTTCAATTCGGAACAACTGCAGCGCTCATTTACAAGGATTGGCACTATGAAGAGTAAAACAACTAAACGCCCGACTACAAATGAGCACGGACAGATAAACTGAAGCTCCCGTTTTGGAATTCCAATTTTACCTCATAGCATCAGATAAATTATTCGACGTAATATTATCTCAGACCTCATTTCAGCACTAGTAGTCGTTTACGCCTGATTTAGGGGTAATCTTCAAAAAGTTGAAATTTTTGGCTGATATGAGAAGTAAATATTTTTTCTGCATTCAGGTAGAACACCTGCTTCAACATATTTCGAATTCCAGTTCTCTAGTCATAACACAGATGTAGCTGTCTTCAGCAAGTGGTACAAACTTTGTATTGTAGAATAAGTGAACGGTGGTTCCATTAGGTTCTACGTCTGTCCTATTGAAGTATGCAGTGGGTTTGAAATGGTCACATTTGGTTACAAGAGATAAACAATTATTAATCAACCTGGTCTCAAAGTAGTATTACTGCCTGTGATCTGTAAATGGCAGAGAGCCTCTCAAGTATGCCTGCGCTACCGCAGTGCTCAAAATGTGCATCTAACCTCCCTTTGAAAGTGTCAGGGGATGGGGCTAGAACAGCTGCTGAGGGAAGGGAGTTCCAAAGTTTACAAGTTCTAACTGCAAAGAGTTAACATGAATCTTTTTATGTACTGCCTCATGCTCTATTCCCCGTGGGTGACCCGTAAGGTGGCGTTTCCTACTAAAGCTTGGGGGTCTGTTAGGATGAAGGGGATTATATGCGATATGGTACGCCATGATCATATCCCCTCTGATCCTCCAGTATTGCACTGGACGCAGCTGTATAGCAGCTAAGGGGTTTGAGTAAGATCAATACAGTAACCCAATCGCCTTCTTTGTAGCCCTTCTCTGAACCTGTTCTGGGATGACTATGTTCCCCTCAAATATGGGGAAAGCACGAGCCTATTTTTCTCAAGATGTAAGAGAATAGGCAGTACACAATCTTTTGTAAAAAGAGGAGGAGTTAGCCTCCCTAAAGTTCGAGAAAGAAACCCTAAGACTCTATGTGCCTTGTCGGTGGCAAGGCGACAGTGGACTAAAGCTCCCAATGCGTTGCTTAATGTAACTCCTAGATACTGTTCCATGTCACAGTGAGAGGTATTTATTTCACCCAGGGAGCCAAAACTGGGACTGCCTTTATATTTGTCAACTTTCATTATTCTACGTTTCTTCTAGTTTGGAGGGAGCGGGTTTTTTGCGGTCCAATTTAGGATATTCGTAAGGTCCACCTGGGGGCCGAAATATCCGCTGGTGCCTGTATTTCCCCAAATCTCCAGATCATCAACACATAATAGTGAATAAGAACTGAGGGATCCTGATAGGTCATTGATGAAAACAAGAAACAGTAATGGGCCCAGAATAGAACCTTGCGGCACACCACTTGGCTTTGGGAACCAATTAGATACAGATGAGCGAAGTCTAACTGACTGCAACCTACTGTGAAGATAATCTCTAAGGCGAATAAGCAAGCTTCCGTACACACCCATAAGCTGAGTTTTCTCACGTAGTACGTCTGTGGTTTTGTTGCTAGTCTGACTCGACAAAGTGAGAGCTCTTTCCTTCTTAATTAAAAGCCTAATTCCTTTCTTGAATCCCAAGTGATCCACTCTTTTTATGGCTCTGGCGCTACCTAATGACAGTATGAAAGGACGTCTGCATAGTGTGTCGGAGAAATGTAGGTGGCTCCACCCGAGCCATAGGTTCTGAACCATAATTACAATGAACTCATTGGCCGGTCTTCTGGATAGTTTAACCCACCTCCGAGAACCCATTGGTGGAGACTGGTATCTGTACCCATTTTGCAGGGCGGAAAGTAAGATCTAGATGCACCTAGGACCAAAAATATTGGTTCTAGTGCGAAAAACTGAGTAACGTCAATATCGCCTTTGAAGGCTGTAGTGCTAGGGTCCGCAGTCTCAGAGCTATCTTTCCTTTAATTTCTAGTACCACTGGTACTAGAGCAAATAAAGGCTAGAGAAACAACCAAAACATCGCTTTTGCAAACTGTTCCACTCCACTCATCGCTTTTTACCAAACCCCTACAAGGAACATATAGAATACTGTATCTCTCTGACAGCGCCATATGAGAAAAAGGTTGAATGTAGGTAGATTACAGTAACAAATATGGGACTGAGCGGAATCGGAGCGAACTACTTATTAAAACTGTACCCCCTACCTGGTACTAACCCAACTCCAAGAATAGTTACTTCTACAATGGCGAAATTGGAGAGGAGTTTTGGAGGAGGGATCTTGAGGTCAAAACCTCAAGGAAGTCAAGGCCGTGGCCTACCCATCATTAGCAGGGCGTCCTGGTTCCACTGGAGTCGCTGTGCTGTCAATTCAGGTCTTGGCAGAGGTAATTTTTGCATTCACGAAGCTGGTTACATTTTATGAGGTGGAACATGACCCAAACTTTGGTTGCTTATATTGTCCAGCGATGAGGAGATTAGCTTTTCTTCATCCGTCTGTCTTCATGAGTGTGATGTTGTCCAATGGAATGCCAAACATAAGCCTACAGCAACCACCCTTGAGACTCTTGGGTACCAAGTCCTCCGGAAAACTGCCTGAAGCTTTTAAGGGTCTTCAGGTAGGGCATTCGTCAGTTAGGATGCAACCCAGTGAAAGGTCATCACTTGGCAGAGTTCAAACTATCATACATTAGGGCTAGGTTCAATAAACTCGGATCAGTGGGGGACTGATAGTTGGCAGCAAGAAATTCCACTCAAGGGTTTCTACTATCCTGCTACCGTACACGGGATTCCTTGATGTACAGATAACACTGTGACTGCTACATTAATTCATGATACAAACCAGTGGAAATATTGGGCAAAAAAACCGCAGTCTGACCGTGTGAGGGCCAAATACCAGCTGTCTTCTAAGGCCCGGTCACCTCCCAACAATCTGCACTTCTAGGTTACCTCAATCAATCCATGATTCTTCACACACTGCCAGAATAACTGCAGGTACATAGCGTAATAAATCGGCTGCATCCCCCTAAGGATGTTTTGGTAAGTGGGTGTGGACCCATTGAAGAAAGACAGACTGAAAAACAGCGGCAGCAAATGCATCACGCCTTCCAGTATCTACTGAGTGCACGGTTGAGAGGTGAACAAGAGTTTTTTAATAACAATAATATATATATTTCATACAACATAGGTTACATGAATACAAACCAGTTTACAGGTTCGATCATTTTGGCAATGAGAAATGACTATTATGTACAATGTTTAGCTGTACATTAGATACCGTTGTTCATGGCATATAAGAGGTGTGTTGAGGCAGGCTCAGTTAGAAACTAGGAATTATTCGGTTATTGTTTGAATCTTCCAATATTCTTGAAGGGGCAGGCACTACAGTCATGACCTTGGGGTGTATGCGTTCATCATAAGGTTCTGATGGCTTGGTGCACACTGACAAACGCAATTTCTAGGATTCCATTTGAATGCAAGACTGGTTAGGTAAACCTGAAAAGTGAATAACAAAGGCCAGCAGCAGGCGAAACTCGAAACAGGAGCGCAAAAGTACGCAGGAGCAGATCAACCATGATGCATCTGGGTGAGTTCTTTGTACTGACTACAAAACTTGTTCGAAGAAGTATCCAGAACCAACTAATTAGAGGTGAGCTTAGGGGGAAGAAAGTGAAGGTACGCACGACAGTGATAAAAATTAGTCTGAAGCCGAAGATATCACTGCAAAATAGACAGATTAGAGGATTTAGGGACAGGTATTCACTCATTATATAGGTATGTATGAGCGTTTGATGAAGTTATGAACATTTAAGTGAAATTCATGGTCTTTTCTAAGATGGTAACCACCCTTTATCTGGTCACGGGGGGATTATCACAGTGTTGCCTGTTGAGTATTACCATATCGGGGGTACCAAAACAATATGGTGGTGCAGAGCACTTGCATGTAAGTGCTGATAACAAAGGACAAATCATAAAACATGTTACATACTATGTGAATGCACTGATGGACGGTTCTTTTATCTTTTCGGGGTAGAAAGATTATTGTGAGGGACGAATTTTAGGAAATGGGTGTTAAATCGTAAGATCAGTTAGGTCATGAAGAAATGCAGGTTACATTAGAGTAGCTACAGAATTCACTGTCGCAAATCGTATCGCACTCCGCTTCCTCTCCACTCTTGGTCAGTTCTTTTAAAGAAATTAGATTTTAAATTAACTAATGCGTTAGTTTTCGGCATTGCTGTTAGTCTCCCTTGGGTCTAGGTACCAGTAGCACCATTGTACATGGTATTAGCGTTTGCGGTTTGGCAGTCAACAAGTTGATGAGATTCGTTAGATAGGAGGAATTCACTAAGTAATCGTTGAAACTGGCCGGGAGATCGACATGCTCGTATAGGAGCGGGAAGTCTGTTCCACAGCATACTCTATTGCGTTATGAATAACCTACACCTAAGTTTTGAGCGGAACTTAGTTACTGGAATGGTGTGTTCCCTATTACGGAGACTATGTGCCGGTGTTAATTTAAAAGTGATAGTACATTTGGTTTTAGAGTTTTCAAATAAAAGATGAAAAAGAAATGTTAGGCTGAGCTTCAGGCATCTCAGCCAGAGTGATTCTAGTTTTAGTTTTTTGCGTCTTGCTTTGTATGCAAGTCCTTCGTTATGCATTAGTAGGCACCGAGTAAAGTTTTGTTGAATGTTCTCTACTCGAATTCTGTCTGATACTTTCATGTTACCATAGATAACATTGCAGTACTCTAATATTGGGCGAACCATGACCTTGTACAGTATAAGTTTTACCTCAGGTGTATGTTTCTGTGTAGAAGACCAATGAGTCTCCTGCCCTTGGAAACCATTGAATCCACACACTCCGTAAAAGTCAATTTTCTGGAGTAAGCGATTTCGAGGTCTTTCACAGTGTTGTTTATCTGCAGTGCGATGTCACCCAAGTGTAGTGTTACAGCTGGG